AGCTCTATGTTCCTCTAGGAATTAAAGGATATAATAATAATATATAATAATTATCAAAACTTTTCACTGATTTATGACTTATTCATATCCTTAAAATGATATTGAAACTATTTGATTTGCATCTTTCCGTGTGGTATTAAATGTTAAATGCATCAAGTTCAGAATAACAGTCATTCACAAAATCTTTGACCAAATATACTACAATCATCTGTCAGGCAATACGGTGAAAACATTCATTATTTCCATGCACCTTTACACCTTCAAGCTGGAAGATATTTAGGTAAAACTTTTCACTTTGTTTTACAATATCCTTTGGGTATTAAAAGATCTTTTACGATTAGGCTATACCAGAAATAATATTTCATTGTTACAAAGAAAAATGAATACATTGGTAACAACAACAACAGCAACCATAAAGTTTGTAGAAAGATGACTTCAATTCAGACACTCTTCTAGTTTTACCTGCTACTGTTAGTAGAAATACCTAATCTCCTCATACTAGAACAAAGTGGGCATCACAGATTTTGTTGAAACTACTCCATAAACTTTACAACAAATATATAAATAATACAATTACGATAACTAATACTGTTTGCAGATCAAGTTATCTTGGTAAATGACGTAATACTTAAGCAACAAATAAATATTAAGATAGTAGCAGATGATGCGAAAAATATACGTCTTCGAAGAAAACATTCGTTTTTTCCATAGTGTTAATGTAATAACTGAAACGAATGTCGCTTTTATGTGTGAAAATCCCTTAAGGGGGTACAGATAATAACAGGGTGAGTATAGCCAGGGGTTACGCAATAGTACAGACAAATGAAAAATGAATCCATCTGATGTGAGCATCACATGTTACAGTTGTTTCAAGGCACCTTTTATTCCTTTACTTTCTTAATGGAACATATCGCCTCAAGGTAGAGCTTTTAATTTTCGGTCGCAGTGACTTCATTTTTACGCCTCACGCCCAAAATTTCCTTTTCACAGGCCTTACTACTGAGTTAGCGAGGTTTAAGAGTGCATCGGCAGAGGATCGAACCCAGGGGGACGTGAGTCGCGGTTGGCGAGCATTCAACCGCTGAACCACTGACGCACATGATGATATACCTATTGACTGAACATTTATACATTGGTTTTCAGAAGAACCGAACATACCTATCCCTGTCTCTTACGAGACGAGACCAACATGTAGTGTCAACTTTTGATGCAACCACCCTAGGATCCTCTGCCTCAGTGGACCGGCTAGGTGACAAAATGAACAAGTATTTTGGTAAATTTGCAGAACAGTCATGTTGATAGGACGAAGAAGCATAAAACCTAAGTTCAGAGCTTCTCTCCAAAGAATTCAAACACTAAAAACAGGTTTATAACACAGTAGTGAAGAGAATGAAAATACACTGCAAAAACACTTTGAAAAAAACCCAGAGGAAAGTGATAGATACGACGACGTAGGAAAGATTGATTGACTTAATCCGGAAAACATCCTTAGTAAAACAAAAGTGAAACAGACAGACAGACAGACAGACAAAGCGAAACAAGCATTATTTATTTTCTGAACAAGGGGTAAATGCAGAACGAAATGCCTCTTCATACACTCAATTGCCTAAGTTCATTCATATTAAGAGATTATTCACTTATTACGTTGATAACTGCAAAGGTCTATATTTCTGAGATTTTGATATATTTGTAGACAGAAGACAAGTAGTTCAGCGAAGAGTCTCTTTCGGCGAATTCATTTTCATAGCTGTACAATCGCAAATATATATGGTTATTTTGTGTGTGTGTGTGTATACATTAAATTTGTCAAACGAAAATACAATTAGTAGGTTCAGATGAATTGGATGTTGATAAGAGGATAAGAGGACGGTCACGATCTCAATCAACTACTGCAAATATTCAACAAATGCCATCCAGCCACAAATTTCACTTTGGAAACTGAAAATGAATCTAAAATCCCTTTTCTTGATGTCGAGCTTACAAGGAGAGATGACGGAACTTTAAGAAGGTCAATCTATAGGAAACCGACTTGGAACGGACAATTAACAAGTTTCTACAGCTGGGTACCAATCAGTCGGAAAAGAAATCTAATTAAATCCCTTGCCACTCGCGTCAGACGCATCTGCAGCTCCGACACCATGGAAGAAGAACTAAACTTCCTGAGGGAAATCTTCATACAAAATGGCTACCCACCAAGATTTGTAGAGAAAAACATCAAACAGAAAAACCAAAAGCAAGAGACACTATCCGTGCCGAAAAAGATACTTTATATGAACCTAGACTTCAAAGGAGACCTATTTAGTGACGTCCTCAGGAGGAGAATTTCCACCTCTTTAGGAAGAACTTTCCCTGCGGCAACACTAAGAATAGTGTTCTCCAGTCGCCCACTGATCTGCAGAAACCCAAAGGACAAGATTCCGCACATGACCACTTCTATGTGTATATATCAGTTCACCTGTTGCTGTGGAGCCAGGTACATCGGTCGTTCAACGCGCATCCTGTCTAAAAGGGTAAAAGAACACTATCCAGCGTGGCTACAGAAAGGAAATAATGGCCATATAAGGAGTGCAATAATCGAACATCTCGTCAATACTGGTCATTCCATCTCAACGAACGCCTCCTTCAAAGTAATCTACAAAGTGAAGAACAACCTTCCAAAGACAGTACGATTCCGTCTTCTTTGCATCGCAGAAGCCCTAGCCATCCAGTTGGAGGAACCAGAACTATGCATACAAAAGAAAATTATCCAACCACTTTTACTCGCATGGTAACTACTCCTTTGATTTGACCTAACTTTTCTTTGTTTGTTTGATTTGACCTTACTTCTGTTTGTATGCTTATTTTTCTAACTTAAAACCCTTGTGTAATTCTGTATATTATTTTGTTTCCATGTACACCCTTTGAGCACAACTCATTCATCAAACTATTCATGCCATTACGTAACTCTTATTTAACAATCATTTATGACAACTCATCACTTTTGTTGCTATCCTCTTATCAACATCCAATTCATCTGAACCTACTAATTGTATTTTCGTTTGACAAATTTAATGTATACACACACACACACAAAATAACCATATATATTTGCGATTGTACAGCTATGAAAATGAATTCGCCGAAAAGAGACTCTTCGCTGAACTATTTGATATATTTCTTTCGTCAAATGCATATGAATTTGTCAGGGGAATCACAGCACTTTATTTTTTTTAACCAGTCTATTGAAGACAACACATTTATGGCTTCATAAGATCTCTATCAGCTTGAGAAATGTTTATTAGACACCTCACTTAAGATGAGTGCTGTTCTCATTCGCACTGACTATTTTCATATGGATAGATAGCTAAATACAAGATTAAAGATACAGCCTGCATGCAGAAAACCTCGTACTGGAATATTAAATACTCCTAAATTTTTTTTTATTTACAACTATTTCCATGTGGACTTAAATGTTAACCAATCACTGTTCTTTTGGGGATCCAAATGCTTCTTTAAGTACTCAGGCAAGCATCAGTATTTTCAAAAAATCTCACTAAATCAAAGACTGATGTTCATGCAAAGCATATAATAGTGACTTTTATTAAAACTAAAACTTCATGAAAGGAGAAAAAACCATAAAGCTATGCATAGCTTCCGTTATGCCCATATTATCCGTAAAAAGAAACAGGGTATGAAATGTTTAAAACATACATTAAAAATACAAATTCAATTAAATTGTATTAAAACTTACGCAAACGTCCAGCCAGACCACCAAACAGTAGAGATGCAGAATTACTGAGTATATCATTACGCTGATCAGCCTTTAAGCATCTACTCCCATTCCACTGCCAAATTTCATACAGATAATCCAAAGACAAAATTTCACCACTAAACAAAGTGAGAATGATAATAATAATTATAATAACAGTATAACAGAAATCAGGATTGTTATTTTTACCACAGAAAACATTCACAACTATCCTTTGAAATGTATTTTACTGAATGGTAAGCGTATATTATCATAATTAATAATCTCTTTTACATCACTTTTAAATTAACATACACCACAAAACCTAAATATTGATTTCTTTTTGGCTTCCAAATGATATCGGATCATAGAGGAACTAACCTTTCTAGAAGCCTGAGATATTAATTATCCCTCATTTTTCTAACAACACTATCTACCTGTCTATCTTACTATCTATCTATCGCCAGTTCCTTGATAGGATTCCATAATTGTTAGAGTTCTAAGGTTGCGGTGAGTATTCATGGACAAATTCGGAAGACAGCAAAACAGCTGTGTAGGGTCATTAAAAGGTTTTGAATATTTTCTCTAAAACGTGTATTTTAATGCGCACAATCCACACTCCTGGACATGTGTTACGTATGCCAAGCCATCGCCTCCTTCGACGAGCAATGTTAGCGGATATAGGGTCAGGCTGGAAAAAAGCTAGCGGCGGTCAAACAAAAACTTGGCTGCACCAGTCAATGAAATCCACAACAGTTGGTCTAAGCCACGTAGGAAAGTGTAGACTTCCAGGCTGGGGTCCTCGGGACGGTAAAAATCTATGGTTGGAAACAATTGGTGACATGGCTCAAAATCGTTCTCAGTGGCGCAGATGCATCCACTCCTTGTAACTTATGATCTTCAATGAAACTGTTTTGTTTTTCTTTATTACTCCTTTGTCTCACACCTCTGCTCACTGTTTCTATTATACTTTTCTTGTACTTTCTTCTCTTGCTTCGCGTGCTACACGGAATGTGGCGACTTGAACTGGCGCACATTTGTGCAAAGTTCTATGTCGGAAACAGACAGACAGACACTCCTGCATTGAGTGATTCCGAATAAATTTACTACTGTGAATTCAAGCTAAAAAATTACAGTAATCAGAAATAATTTCGTTTACTTTATGCATGCATAATTCAGCTTGAAAAAGCAGTCTAAAATGTTTATATATGCAAATAAATCATAATTCAACTTCAAAACATAAGAATTTCAGTTGTATTTAATTGATTTCGTGTACAAATGGAAAATTTGAAACTTCTCCTAAAATCAGTCAAATATTCTAGGTAAATGGATAGATATCTAGACTAGCTGTAGACACTAACAGAATAATGTAAAATAAATTTGTAGTATGCCACAACCAATATAATTACTTTGTTAAAAAAAGCACAGAGACATATGGAAACCCAAATTATCAGACTGTTTCAAAAACCTAATATACACATTCCCCTTTATAAATATCAACAGAGAATGAACAAACATTGGGGCAGAATTAAATAGACTCACTGGATTTCATAAGTTTTCTTCAGCTGCATACTGAAACCACTTGCCAATCAGTATTTATACCGATAAGAATTAGTCAAGACACTTCAAATCTTGGTCGAACGCTAGTTAATAATCAGTATAATGTGTCTCCTCCTATCTCTGGTGCAGACTGATTTCTATCAGTCAAGTTTGCAATGTAGTCATGATGCTACGTGGGTCACCATCACGGTGCAGTGACAATTGTTGTTGGAAGCAGTCGGTAAAAAGCCTGAACCTAGGTTTCGTATTACTTGGCACTCGTCAGCAAGGCAAGCCACCTAGCATGGTGACCACATTACAAACTTGACTGACAGAATTCAGTCTGCACCAAAGACACATTACACTAGTTACTGAATAGTGTTCTATCAAAGTACCCAATGCAATCCTATAGCAGGTCATTTGTGACCCTGAATAGTTCAGTGGTAACTTCTCTGACTACACACCTCGGTAACACAGGTAGGAATCTCAGTGGCGACATGAGTTCCTTGATGGTTGCAGATACGCCTCGCTGAGGAGTACCAGCTAGCATGAAAGCTAGGTCTCAGGCTTCTTCCTGATCACCTTCAGCCATCTGATATAGAAACACTTCCAATCTATTGACTTATCAGTTAGTGTTTTGGATAATATTATATTTGGCAATGATTTTCGCTGGGAAACACATTTCATTCTTTTTTTGTCTATACGAGATAGAAACGATAGGATATAGTCAAAAACCACAGTTTCACTGTCAATACTGTTTAGCAAATAAAGATGGCAGATACTTATGAAATTGTATAAAAGTGGAAAAAATATATCCTATAATACTAAATACCATTATTCTGAAAATGAGTAATAATAATGAATAAAAGGCAAAAAGTAGACATTAAATTGACATGTGTTATACATTTATGTGTCCTACCTATCACAGTTGCCATTATTCCTAATGCCAAATCAGTGACATCTGGAGCTTCTTGTTTATTTTGTGTCATACGAACTATTGCTTGTATAGACTCAGCTAAAAGTTGTATGGATAAACTAGCCATAAATACAGCAAGTACGATCACTGCAATCGGTTCAAGCCTGGTACGACCTGATTAAAATGATGAGGCAAATGAGAAACACAAACCAGTAAATAAATAAAATTAAGTTATTAATTCACTTATTATTGGAATATCTGCGAGGCAAAGAAAACATGAGGTATGGTTCCGATCGACTGATTACTCTGTTCTCAAAAAATCACTAGGATTTTTAATTTGCTGTCTCACCAGTCACATCGACAGTTACAATATAATTGTTGGATTTTCATGGCTCTTTTGTTGTAGGGATTTGATTTTGTTTCACGTTTCATCACCAATTGATACCTTAGTTAGATAACCATTGGAAATCAGGGAGTACTGCGAGACAGCTGTTTCGTCCTGGCTTGAGACTAATCGACAATACTCAGAACTAGGACTGAACAGCATGAAAATAAATCTGTGGCGCAGAAGAAGAAAAAGGAGAAGCGATTCGGTACCATAAGGATATACTCTATCACTGTACATTAACCATATATTCGAAAAATTTGCAAAAATGGCTAGAAAGTAAATTACTACGCTTTAAACAAATGTTGAAATAGCAGTTTGGCTGTCAAAAGAATTGAAATCTGTAGACTTTCCGTTTGAATTACTTACTACACGGTGAGCTAGTCATTACTAAAGTGTCATTAAGTATTCCAGTTTAATTTGTCATTTATTTCTCAAAAATATTTTTTTAAACAGACAAAAAACTCAAATATCTGTACGACTGTAGATAATGGATAAGAGAAGTTGAGAAAATGAACCATCGGATACTTGACAAGTAGTTTAATGTCAACATGCTCACTAGGAGAGATGGCTCTCTTGGGCTAACTCATTCATCCAGTCATAGATTAGTACTAATGGAATGTCTCAAAATGAGGTGAAACGTTTGTCTAGTACTGCAGGAAAACTTAAACGTTTTTAAGTATATTTTATTTTATAATTCCATATATTGAAGCAAAGGTGCCATTCAACCAAGTGATACATCTGTCTAAACTGTCTAACAGGTAAGATGAACTTATAAGCCAACAGAATACTGGGTCCGACGATTTGAGCAATTTCAGTCATTTTAGCCTTCAAAAAATGTTTTAGTGCAGATGATAACCTATGCATATTGATGAAAGATCATTGAACAAACTCAGCTCATAATCCATCCATCAATATATATATATATATATATATATATATATATATATATATAGTGAAGGATAAGCGTCTATATTAGCTTCTGACATACAATAAATGTCACAACGTGGTCATCAGGTGGTATCTGTCGTGGTGTTGGCTTTCAACAAAAGATAACCACAAGAGGTAACTTTAAATGAAAATTCTTCAACCATTAAATATGTAATATCATAATTTTGTAGTTATGTCCTGTCTTTCATCTAGACAGAATTAACCCATTTCGTAATCCACAAGTGTCACCGTTAGCATACAAAAATGTTTGTTAAATTAAATGATTATAAACTATGTCGTTGTTTACTAGGATAAATTACCTTGTGGATATGTGTATGGTTTCCTTTTGCGCATCTGACGAGAAGCGTACCACATTATTCCACCAGAAGCCAAATCAACACAACTGTCTAGTAAAGAAGATATGATCGCCAGTGATCCTGATAATGCAGATGCTACTGCTTTACCCAACAACAGCAACTATTTATCCATGAACACAAAACATAAATTTGCACCATTAAAACATAATAAAGTGACAAACATAACAAGTATGTGCAACTATGTGGTATTATGAAACGATCATTTTATAATATAGACAATTAGAATTCACTCTCCTGGAAACCTATCGTAGATTCATTTATTAGGATAGGCCTTGGTCACCAGTGTCTTTTCGCCTAACTGCTATTTGTTTAACATGATAAATTAAGCATATTAAATGGAGATAAGAGACATTGTATATAAAAACAAAAAACCGAATTGAGAATTATATTCAAAATTAGCTAAACCTTGGAGTCTGAATCACAGATATCAGGTGTGCGTCGACAGAGGGTCGATCCTCGGACCATGCTCATGGTCGGCGAGAGTCATAACCACTGTGCCACCGACGCAGAATCGTGGTTGAATGGTTTATGAGTCAGATTGTGCATGGGAAGAGACAGGAGACAGGAATACGCTGGACCACCGATAAGATGACTCTAGGAGATCTGGATTTCGCAGATGATATACGTCTAATGTCAACAAAACTCGAAAAATTGCAGACAGGCGAAAAGCGAGAAACTGATTTAAGCAGCAGGCAGCGAACACAGGATTGCAGGTGAAAATACAGAAGACGAAAGTGATGAAGATAACCAACAAACAGCAACAAGAACAACAACCAGCGCCAATCACCATAAAGGGGAGAGACTTAACAGAGGCAACCTCCTTCACTTATCTAGGAAGCATCGTTTCAATCACAGGCCAGTGGAACGGATGAAGATGTCAAAGCCAGCCAGCCAGTCAGTATTGGAAAAGCAAGATACACCTTCATCAACCTGAAACCAGCTTGGAAATCTTCTGCACTGCACTCAGCATAAGCAGTAAGATTCATACTTTCAAAACAAATGCGAAATCAGTCAGTTTTTCTTTATGGGTTAGAAACTTTGCGTGTCAGGAAAAGGATGTCCAACAGGCCACTGCAGATTTTTATTAACAGCCACCTTCGCTGGTTCCATACTGAGGATCAAATGACAGGCCAGGGACAATTATCAACAAGAAACTCTGCAGTGGGACAAACCAACCGAGCAAGAGCCAATCGCTCAACAAACATGGAGATGGATTGGGCATACATTGAGGAGGCCGAAAATGACATCGCGCACCAGGCCATCGTTCCAGCGGAATCCCAAGAGCAAGCGACGAACGGGTCATTGGTGCGAGGGTGACACGGAGGAGTTCATGAGGAGAGGAAATGAGAGATCGTGGGCAATTGTAGACCCAGCTGAAGAGGACAGCAGTAAATACAGCAAAGTGAAGATGTTTTGTTGAAACCTAATGTTCACCTCGGAACCCGAGGGAGTAATAATAATAATGTTGATTTCGTATGGAATTAACATAATCATATTATCTATTCATGTTCTTGTGCTTATTTAAGTAGATAAAAAATTCAAGAATATCTTACGAAGACCTGAACATCAATGAAAAATTAAGAATCTTAAGTAACAGCTTATATTACTGCATTCAGCAGCACTGAACTATCCGCTAATTATGAAAACTAAGCCACCAATTTCAACTAAAATATAGACACAAAGAGCGATTGTTTTAAGAATATAAGTAAAACTGATTTAAGTATTAGGAAAACAAACAAACAACAAAATAAAATATCGTACTAAAACGTCTACATACAAGGTTTGTACTAAGTCATGACCTGCACCATCAAAAGGTCATCCAGAATAAAGTCAATATTCATGATGTACATTTCAATTTTTCTCAGGAAAGTCAAATTTAATGTAACCTCTTTAGGAGGTGCAGAAATTACCAGGATGAACGTGTAACTCTACTATGAAGTTGTGAAGTGGTAGACTATTAATTATCTAGCTTTAAATTATAAGCCATCACAAGTATGAAACCAAACGCATATATCAGCTTGTTTCCTTAAATCCACACCATTTGCAAAGTCACTTAGAGCCGAAAGACACACAACAGTTTCATATTCTACCATAAATTCAATAAGATTACAGAATACTAAGTATCGGATATCAGTTGATTGGGTGAACAGAAGTTATGATGGAAACATGAAAACAAGAAACGCCAGTTGTTAGATGCAGTAAGGAGAAAAGTACTGCGTAATAGGACTAAACAATTCTTCTTTCCATCGTCCTTTGGTTGTCTTCAACAGACAGTTTATGTATAATATAGCTAAATCAAGTAGCTTTATAAAACAGATGAGAATAGAGATATATTAAAATATATATTCTTAATACTGCAGTTGGTAACGTTAAAATGAAACAAAATTCTACTGATTTTCTAATACAAGGAAATTATTTATCAATAAAAGGTTACTTACTACATTGGCAAAGAACACGAGGCGTAAAATGATTGCATTATTACGTGTTTGTTGGCGCACGGACTGATGATTGGTATATACATCAATAATATCTGAAGTTTCTGTATCATTGGCGGCAGCAATCTTTTCCAACTCATGAATATGTTCATCCTGTTTTCGATAAAATTCACTGAAAGAAAAAAAAAGATAATTGAAATGTCCAGGGAATGCATATTCACAGAAATACCTCACAATACATTTACTATAAGCTGAGGATGAGACATAGCAACAGTTGTATGTTAAACTTCTCATTTAGAGACGTTGAAGAAAAGAAAATAGTCAATCTAGTCGCATTGTCTTTGTGAATTTTTTCCCATATTAGTTGCAGAATTTATGAAACACTTGTTATGCGTACTTTTATAGGCTTGGTATTCATTGTTTATTTGAATTTTCTTCACATCACTTGGAAGCTACAACCGTTTAGATTCGTACCATGTCATTCATCTTAAATTAAGAAGCATTGTTATGTTGTTGCAATTTATTGTGTGCAGTTGACTTGCTTATCATACATATATATATATATATATATATATATATATATATATATATATATATATGAATGCATAGAGTTGAGAATGGAAAGTTAGGACGAGTCAAAACCAATTCATCTTTTGATTTGTTCAAATTGAACACAGTTATAAAAATTCAGAGTCAAGCTAGACAGATACTTAACACCAGGATGCATTAGAAGTTATAATCACGTAAACCTAGGTGGGAAAATGTTTTCCCAACAATCAAGTCAGTTGCATTATCTCTGATTAAAACCATCCTATATTATACCACAATCCAACACTGTCTCACTAATAATTTACCACTAGACGAATGAAAATGTAATTAGAACTGACCCTCCATCATGTAACAATAAGTCACCTGGTTATTGATTATTTATTTTTAGCACTCGTTATGCTAGTTGACAGATGTTTTGGTGACAAAATGTTCTATCATTCAACGAGATCCTGATTGAAAAAAATGAATCCAGCTTAACACAAGCCATTACATAAAATAAAATAGCAGAATGTAAGACGGCTGCATAAGCCCACGACTCAGCTTAACAGCTTATAAACGACCTTCTTTTTATGTTCAATACGAAGCTATAAATGCATAGTCTTTCCTCTGTAGCTGTTAAATGATGCAAATGTGATTCGTTTGATTTATGTCGTTCACATAAAATACAGTCTTATGAAACTGTCAAATGAGTAAAATACTCCAAAGTTAAGCATAAAAGCGAAAATACTTTTCTTAAACCTTCAAGAGCTGTGTTGTAGATTTTATCCGTGAGGACTCTTACTCCACCTCCAGCTTCTCAGAGATGAAAACGTAAATATTAGTTGACGACTGGAAACGTGATGAAAATGACAAGAACGCTAACTTGAATGCAGACTTAAGGTTGGATTTTCAGTAGGATAGATAGATTTTCCGATGACAAGACAAAAGTCTGAAAGAAATACGAGTTGTAGACAGCCAATGGGTATTCTGTTGTTTGTAACTTTTTTTAATGGTCATTCGAATTTATCCCATTAAATAGTGTAATTTTCTATGTTTTCAAAAGCACGCTTGCTACTTCCTTGCTTCGATCCATATGAATAATGCAGAATCTACATAAATAATCTCACATTTCCAATTTCCGAAAATTTGTGGAAATGAAACGGGTGGAGGCTAATGATATTGTAAACAATTAATTCAGTCCACCGTCACCTTCTTTTGGTAAAGAGTCAACAGAAAGACTTAAGGATTCATCCGAGTTAGATTATGTCATCCAGTTTATTTTCCTGGGGTTTTGTTTCTTTTTCAAAATATGGAGCTTAAAAAATTAGGAGAATTTGAAAACAGTGACTTAAAAAGCTCCAACGACTGCAACGTACTTAATTTTCTTTCCATTTGATGAGTGATTGATAGGTTAGAACGAATTTGAGACTAATTATGAGTTATTGTCACATGAATTATTCATGGAATTATTCAAAATTTACAGACATTTTTATGATTAAAGCAAGTTAACTTTATGATATATGAAAGGGTGGGAGAACTGTTTTGTTGAATGAATTATTGTGAGATGCTTCACAATTGATCGACTTTGGGCACTGCAGACTAATAATCACAATGTGTTTAATCTAGGAGGAACTGTACAATCCCTAAGTAGGATTACTGATTTTATAGAGAGTAGGGTAGAGGGAGAAATAAACTTACGCCACTGACTTCGGAATTTTTTTGGCTTCACCAATATGTGAACTCAGCCGTTGCTGGAAAACTTCAATCGGATGTGTTCGCCAGTCATTACCTATTAAATTTAGTAATAACAAACAAACATCATTACAGGACAAAATCAATTGTTTAGTTTCCAAGCATTTTTACTTGAGAATATCGGACCTGTCTGTTTACGAATAGCACCACTCAGTATTCGAACAGACTTTCCAATAAATAAGAGCTTGGTCTTACACTTAGTTTTAAGCTTAATATTGCTACTCATTGTGTTAGCTACCATTCCTGAGAGTAATATTTTTTGTTTTGAAAATATGCCTGAGTGTATGACTTTGCAAGGGAAAATAATGTTGTAACACGGAACTGATGAAGGTATAAAAGGAATTCTCTTGACATTTTCAACTTCGAACATTGTTCTTGAGTAAATGCTTTAATTTATTCAAAACTTATGGGTTCTGATTCCTTTGTTTAGCTAAATAACAACGACATGTGAATTATAACACTTTTTTATCAGAATCAAAATTAATGAGGTTAAAATGGTGGCTGGAAAAAAATACTTAATTATAGCCACGTAGTACGTGAATGTAATAGAGTTACTAATAGACCAGTTCGAGGTGGAAAAATAAACCATGTAGTGCCGCATAAATGAAGATATGAGAGTCAATGTTAGGGACCCAATAGACTGTATATAAGGCAAATGTTAGTTGAGAGAGGCAACCAAATGTAAACATTTTACCAGGCATTAACAGTTAGGTTAGGAAGGTAATCTTATCCATGAAACTCATTCTGAGTATGTTTCACACTTAAGCACTAAAGAGCTGGTGAAGATGTGAGAAAAGTGATTGCTGATAGTCTTTTTTGAAGATACACACTCCTAAAGAGAATATAGGTCTCTGTTGGTCAAAGCCATTAGGTATTAACTAAAGGACATAATCTCAGTGGATCCGGACTACCTGTTACAGTCACTTGGTGTATGGTAATAATAACGGAAAGGTAGGAGACACTGGTCTAACTAGGAACTAGATATAAATGCAAAAATGAAAATCAGAAGCTTAAAGGTATTCTGATGGTCGGAGAGTGGACACATGTGCCTCTAAATCTTCTGTGAATAAGTTGCGTTATTTAACCAACTCTAGTTGAAGTAACCATACGGTACGGTCATTCAACTGTACAGTTTGTTTCATAGCTAAGTCTGGGCTCTCGGTATACTAGTATTATAGCTGTCAAGAAAGACGGTACATCTAATGACCGTACAGTGAATAATCATTCGCCTTATGCTGATAAATAGACCAAACTCAAGTAAACTGTTGAAATGCGATGTCCAAATTTATCCGTTGGTAAATACCTGGTAAGCCAAAATGAAACGGGATTTATTAGTGGATGGACAGGCTAAAATACCTATTCGATGTAGAAAAGGACTACGAAACTTTCTAAACACCACCGAATTGTATAAGCTTAGACTAAAATGGCATGAAACCAGGAGTCACTTCAAAACTGTGACTATGGAACCTGGAAACAAACTGGGACTGGCGATACTTTAACCTTTACTTCAATGAATTTTAACACTAATGTAGGTAACCTGACGACTGTTAGACACTTGAGACATTACCTTAGCCGTATATATCCAATCATAAAGGATCTAGTAACCAACCTTGGCGGTGAACTAAGAATAAAGATTTAACTGACAGAAAAGAAAAACAAACAACTGCTACGCAAGCTTCGTCTACTGGTTCACAGGAACTCCAACTTCCATCAACGTTGGTTGTCACCATAGAAAAACTATTATCGCCCACATTCATCAGTTACCAGAGTCAGTCGAAATTTCTAAGAGACTGGAGAGGTATCATTATCAGCCTGGTCCGCAAAATTGAACTTATGAATTCGATTGAGAAATAAAGTACACATTACTCGACCAGTAACCTCATCTGAGTTGAAAGAATTATCCATGGTGCCGATGTTCCACCTATTAATGCAAATAAATGTTTTTCTAAGGAATAAGATTGTTTGAGGCTTGCTATACTTAGTTGGCCAACCTTCTTATGAAAGAATATTGCCGGGTTAGAGCAATTGGTTGCAGTATTCCCGTAAGCATTATTTTCCTCAACTTCAATCACTTTTTCATTATGGCCTCTATTCATTTCTTTTGCTAAAGCTGGGATTTTATAATAGAAAAATAGTAAAAATGGGATTTGAGACCTTTCTTTGGATAATAGGCAGATACTAAGCGATTGCAGAGTACCAGTGAACCTCCACCCAACATTATAAGTTCTTCTCTAGTATTACTGTATGTGAATTGGGTACTGCTGAAAGCTAATTCGTCCTATCTGATGTTCATTCTTGATATTAAAGAAAGCATTAGGCGTGATACCTATAACTTATTAAATAGTCAGTAGGACAACTGCATCTCGTCTTTCCAACTCATCATTCATAGGTACAACGTTTTTTCTTTCTTTCTTTTACTTTCCTCTCTTTTTTCTGTTATGTGCTGCTTTGTTTCTTCCATCTGCTTACGCCAGTAAATACACTAGCATCTACTTTTCTAACACCTTCAAACTCTCTGTTCAGTTTGGTTTTGCTACCGAAATGCCAATATGTTATTGTCATAATGAACTGAAATTTCCACAATCTAAGTAGAATTTTATTTATTGATAATGTACTAACTGGATGCAATACTGCAGCAAAATGCTGAGAATTTCATTCTGTATTGCAGGTATCGTTTTAGAATAAAGCAAATTATTATTAAAAATTATTATTATACTACTGAAAACATCATGATGAAGACAGGGTAAACTTAAAAGAAAATATTGATACGTTAATAAGGGAAATAGTCACTTATATTTAGATTTCAGATTTAAGAGCACCATCATGTATGCCGGGTATAACAGTCTGAATGTCTATTGAGTAAATGGCTTTACTCTGAAGAATGTTGATAAGCTTAAGGACTTAAGAGTCCATGTAAGTCATCACCTGAAAAAAATGAAGCCAACTGCAGGATATCTTAGAGAAGAGACTGAAAGTATTTTAGTCCTCCTACGACGTTAACGTATGCAAAGTACCACACAATCCATAAGAAGGTTTCAAATACCAGCTACGTATCGATTCCGAAAATTATACTGCCATGATGAATTAGAGTTACGATTAATAGTAATAAACTACAATATTTAGTGACAACTGAAAGATCTTCGTGCACGAAGAAATGTATATCTTTATTAGCTTACATATATGATAATATATATGTTAAATTATGCGCTGAGAAAGTCAGCAGTTATTCGCAATATATTGGCTACTACTAAACATGGATAATATGGAGATGGTATAAAAAATCACACACGTCCATGGGGTAAATGGCACTGACGCTTGACATATAAAACAGGACAAATGAACTTCAGGTGTGAAATTTCTCGTATAAGTGCGAATGTTAAGTGAAAAAGCTACCTGAATGGTTTAACTTTCATACTCCGAAAACAAAATAAGTATTTATAAAGCCGACACATAAACTCGGAACAGATTTTGCCAATCTTATAAAACATCACTAGTAGTCATGCTAATTTATGGAGGCTTATGGCTGACGTAACGACTAACCTGCTGTGTTTATCGGATTTAAACTGTTCTCAGCGAGTGGAATAGCCGATTCGATATCATCTGGGTTATCTGGCCTCGGAGTATATGCAAAACGATATTTTAATTCTGTCTCTGTCACGGTTTCATTTAAAGTTTCGTTTTCAGGCATTGAGTGAAGGCTTAAAAGCAACCAACGAAAAATAAGGAGCAATTAATCATGATTCAAAGTTGCGCGATGCTCTAAAGGGTGAACAAAAGAGTAAATGTGTAGTCGAACGATAAAACAAACCATTTTAATTGATAAGCGAACTTCCCAAATTCATGATTATCATTTTTCACTAGACAATTTGTGGTTATACATCATTTTCTTGAATAATTTAAATTAAGACGCAGGTACCACTTCTTCAAGCAGTTGGTGATAAATGCTAATGATTCACTGGGAGAACAAATGTTCCAAGGCAAAAGAGTTCCTCCTTGAGTTTTTAATCCTTCCACTATTTCATATCAGATGGTCTGACCTGGGGATAATGAAAATACAATATAAATTTAAACCATCGTCATCTCCAAGAATTTTTAAATCGTAATCATTGCCAACAATATATTGAGGAGAATATACTTAACGTGTTTGGTATTTCATCGAAAGATAAATTAGCCATAACACCTATCATGTGGCCTTCCTTTAAATTTGTCCTCAGTATGTACAATTTCTCTGAGATAATTCCTGGATGTATTGATGTAGTACACCAAGCCAGAATTGCACAATAAGTCGTCTACAAAAGTCTTCAGGGAAGTATTACAATATTTTATTCTTCACAGTGTTCTTACAATTGTTTCTTTTTGTTCACCATTTTTAACATAGGAACTTAGACTGGAACAAAGGTCTAACCAATAGATAAGTTCTCCAAGTCTAAATTAAGTTGGCATTTTCCGGTAGACCTTAGAAGGAGATAAGTCATGGCTACAGAAAAATATATAAATACGCCTATTCACCTGACCTATCAACTTTATGACTTCTTGATCCAGTCCGCAGATAAAGTAAACTCAGTAATTTTCTTTGGATAGTGCAGACAGTGTGTCAGCCTATTTTTAGGTGTGAGAAATCACTCCATCTAAGTTGAGGTAATTGAATATTAGCTAGAAATACTAATGTCATTATTCGACAAATGATAATAGGTTGAAGTCAAACAGCTTATCCATTGTAAGACTATCGCGTCTGACCGGCTAAAATGTGATGAGGGTGTGAAAGTCAGTCTCATGCATCAGTGTAAAAGGCAAAGCGCACCAACCAAAAGACAACAATACGAAACGAAACCGAAACTGATCGTACGTCCTACAAGTAGTTTAAAACGACCTCTTAACGGAGACAGAGCACACTGTTAATATGACTAACAGTCAACGTATATATAAATCCTCAGGTGATAATCAGGAAACGTAGTCTTTCTTGATGCCAAATCTTTTTCTACTAGAGACACCAGTCTACATTAGCAGACAGACTGTCTTCTACTGAAAGGAATTATTGACTGATTGTCCACAAATACGTGGTTTAAGAGACGGTAGCTCCAAAACTCAGGCGTAACTTTTACAAATCATGATTCAAACCCGAGTATCTCGGGATAAGAATTAATTGGAGCCGGTTAATTCGTGTCTCTAGTTCATGAAGTCATGAGTTCATTAACTAAGATTTCAATAATGGGCAAAGCCTCCAGGGAATGACGCAGTCGACACGCGAATGAACCTGTCAATACACTAGTGCAAATCTATGTTTCGTAACGCCACATAGCGAAAAATTCCCTACCATTCATATCAGATCTCAAATATGTAATAAAATTGTAAGTAGAAAGCCGTCCATTAGATGAATTAGCACAAGAATCGATTTTGTGCTCCGTGGCAAAGTATAATTCCATTGGGGATGAAATTTATTTTGAAAAAGTCTCACAGCGAAACACAGTAAAAATGTCACACAGAAACAGTTTGTGAATTATAATAATAATTTTTATTTTCATATAAACATAAATTTACATGAAAATGCATGCCATTTTTACAGGCACGATCAAGTATGTTATAATGTCAAATCTTAAATTGTCTACAAATTAGTAATGTTTCAACAGTTAAATATTTGATACATATATATAATTACATTCATTGTCTGAACCAGGCCGTATAGTTATTGAATTGTACAGTTGTCCTCCAGGTTGAGCGGGAAAATCGACTTCGTTTCGTTTTCATCCCGTGGTTGTAGGCATACGATTATTATTATTATTGTATCCTTTAGTTCCTAGAGGAACATAGGGCTTCAGCTGCGCACCTCCATTGACTTCGGTTTTTTGACAACTTTTTCACCCTGCTCCAGGTCTGCCCACATGCTTTCATCTCCTCTTCACATGACCTCCTCCAAGTCACCCTTGGACGACCAACTCGCCGCCTCCCTTTCGGGTTCCACTCGAGGGCTTGTCTAGTGATGTCACTTGATGGTTTCCTCAGCGTATGGCCAATCCATCTCCATTTCTTTCTGCCTATTTGTTTCACAATCGGTTCCTGATTGGTTCGCTCCCAGAGATCCCTGTTGCTGATCTTTTCTGGCCATCTGATCTTGAGTATTGAGCGGAGACAGTTGTTAATGAAGGTTTGAAGTTTGTTTGAGATGCTCTTTATGACTCGCCAAGTCTCTGATCCGTATAGTAGCACTGACTTCACATTGGAGTTGAAAATCCGGATCTTATTTTTGATGCTGAATGCTGTTGACCTCCACACAGATTTGAGAGTAATGAAAGCTTGTCTTGCTTTTCCGATTCTGGCTTTGATGTCCTCGTCAGTTCCGCCTGTAGTTGAGACGATGCTTCCCAGGTAGGTGAAGGAGGTTGTTTCTTTCAGGTTCTTCCCATTTATGCTTATTGTGGTCTGTTGTTGCTGTTGATGTTGGCAAGGAATCTTCATCATCTCTGTTTTATCTATGTTCACGTGAAGTCCTATCTTTGATGCTTCTTCTGCCAACTTGTTACTTTTCATTTGCATATCTTCCAGTTTATGGGAAATCAGACATATATCATCGGCGAAATCCAGATCCTCCAAGTCTTTTGTGTCAGTCCATTTTATGCCTGTTCCCTCGTTGGTTGCCGTTGTCTGTCGCATTATCCAATCAATTGCAATCAGGAAGATCATTGGTGATAGTAGACAGCCTTGCCTCACTCCCGTCCTCACTTCGAAGGCTTCCGTAAGTTTCCCGTTGTGGATTACTTGGCATGCAGCATTGTCGTATAACTGTTGGATGAGGTGTATAATTGTCGATGGGACCCCGTAGTAGCGAAGTAGTTTCCAAATGACCTCTCGATCGACGCTGTCGAAGGCCTTTTCAAAGTCGATGAAGTTGAGATAGAGAGGTGACTGCCATTCCAAGCTTTGTTCAATGATGATCCGTAGAGTGGCGATTTGATCAATACATGATTTGTTTCTCCTGAATCCAGCCTGTTCCGGACGAAGTTTTTCATCTAGGGCTTGTTTGATTCTCTCCAGGATGATGCGACTTAGTATCTTGCTTGGAATGGACAGAAGCATAATTCCCCGCCAGTTTTTACATTGACTTAAGTCTCCTTTCTTTGGAAGTTTGAATAAGTAACTGTTCTTCCAATCCTCGGGTACTTTGCCCTCTTTCCACACCTTCTCCAGTAGTGGTGTCATCAAGTCCGCTGTTGTCTCTGGGTCTATTTTCAAAGCCTCTGCTGGGATTCCATCTGGTCCCGGTGTTTTCCCAGTTTTAAGCATCTTGATTGCATTCAGGACTTCTGATTTCGTCGGGGGGTCAGTGTTCACTGGTAGTTCTGCTTCCGTTGTTGGTATTGCTGGACGTGTTGTAGGTGGCGGACGATTTAGAAGTCTTTTGAAGTGTTCAACCCAGTGCTTTCTCTGTTCCACCTCTTTGGTGATTGACTTTCCATTGTCGTCCTTTATTGGCTTAATCTGTGTCGAACGTTTGCCCGAAAGGTTCCTAGTTGTTTGGTAGAGTGTGGCGAGGTCTCCTTTGCCTGCAGCTTGTTCTGCTTCGTTTGCCATGGTTTCATAATATTTTCTTTTGTCTTCCCTGGCACTTTTCTTCACTCTTTTGTTCAGTGTATTGTAGCTTGCATTCAGCTCCTGTTTTTGTTGCTCGTCGTAGCACTGGATAATCTTTTGCTTCACTGTCCTTCTCTCTTCTATTAGTTTCCAAGTGTCCGTAGTGAGCCACTGTTTGTCCTGTCTCTTTTTTCTGCCTAGAATTTCTATGCAGGTTTGGCTCCACACCGTTTTCAAGTTGTTCCAGTGCTTTTCAACGCCGACCTCTTCGCTAGTGTTGATTTGTGTCTCGGCTTTGTCCTTTATGCTTGCAATGAAGATGTCCTTTGTAGCCTGGTCCTTCAGCTTTTGAGTGTTGAACTTGGCTTGTGGTCTATCTGCAGCTCCTCCTTCTTTGAAAGCTTTTAATTTGATTTGGATTGTCCCTTGTACGAGATAGTGGTCTGAGCCAACGTCTGCTCCTCTTCTTGCTTTTGTGTCCAGTAGGCTGCGCCTCCACTTCCTTGAGATTGAGATGAAGTCGATTTGGTTTTTGGTTTGCCCGTCTGGTGACACCCATGTAGCCTTGTGGATATCTTTGTGCTTGTATACACTGCCACCAATCACCAGTTCGTTGAAGGCGCAGAAGTCGGCGAAGAGTTCTCCGTTTTCATTCATTTCTCCTAGAGCTTCTCTACCCATGATGAGTTCCCTTCCCGTATTGTCTGGTCCCAGTTTGGCGTTCATGTCTCCCATTAGTATTTTCATGTCGCCAGCTGGAGTATTGTCCATTGTTGCCTGTAGTTGCCTGTAGAATTCTTCTTTCTTCTCGAGGTCTGCGTTGTTTGTGGGTGCATAACATTGTATGATTGACACTTTCCTTCCTTTGGAGTTGAACCTGGCGGTCATTATCCTGGACGAAATCGCCTCCCATTGTATCAGGGCTTTCGTTGCCGTTGGTGACATCATGATAGCCACGCCCTCGGTGTGCGTGTGGTTATCTTCTGGGTGACCGGAGTAGATCACTGACTCACCTGTTGACAATTTGGTGAGTCCACTCCCATTCCATCTGCTCTCACATATTCCCAGCACTTGTATTCCGTATCTTTTCATCTCGTTGGCGATCTGGGCAGCTTTTCCAGTCTCGTACATAGTTCGGACGTTCCATGTTCCTACACAGACTTTTTCTTTTGGTGCAAAGAGGTTCATTTTGCTGAAGGTTCTGTAGCAAT